CAGATTGCATTCTATGATCGGTTACGACAGAATGAGTAGATATGTTCCAGCGAATGTGATTGCGATATTCTTTTATTCTCTATCCGTATTTAATTGTCTATCCGTCTGACCGACATAAGACGCATTGCAATCTTTACACTCGATTTCATATACTACTATTTTATATATGTTATTTTTTGTAGACAGTGGTCGTGGATCTTTTTGAACTTTTATGAATTTATTTAGTTTATTTAAACTGAAGAAAGAAACTTTAACATCTTTGTTGTTAAGTTGTTTATCTGTAAATGAGGGAATGTATGAGGGTATATATAAACCAAGAAGATTTAATCTCTTGGTTCTCGTTATTTATTGAATCCTGAAAAGCTGTTTTCCTTTCAGGTTTTTTATTCTATGATTAATAGAATAATAGTTTCAAAAAAAGGCAGAAGATCAATAGAAGATTTTCTAATAGAATCGTAATTATATAAGATAGATTTTTCTTATAATGTTTTTTGGATCGGAAAGTAATAACGCTCTGTCCATCATGTCAACAATGATACCCCCTCTTCTGAGAATATAGGATGGTTGGAAAAGAAATTCAAAACTTTGCCCAAGCAGATAGGCTTTTGAACGTTAGAACCAATGGAATGTTAGATAACTTTCTGTTTTTGTGATGGTGATATCTAGAAAGTTAAACGAGTCCCTTCGCACTTCCAGAGTAAATTGCAGGCGCGGGTGGAAAAAGTAAAAACAATCTGAAATCTTATTAATTTCCGAAGATGGAACAGCCATACACAAGTCATCCACATACCAATAATAAAAAGGTAAATCTCTGTTGAAAGATGCTAAAACTATTCTTTCTAATCTCTTCAGTACTAAGTTCGCAATAACTAGTGAGAGTGGAGAGCCCATAGATTTTCCGAAGGTTTGTTTATAGAATATATCGTTAAAAGTAAAAAATGAATCTAAAATAAATTTTAGTGCCGCTAAAATTTCGCTTTTCAGTATGTTACATTTTTTTAGAAATAAAGTTCCAATTTTCATTTATGCAGTCTAGAGCTATTTTTATTAGGATGTTCGTAAAGAGTGAGATAACATCTAATGAAATTAACTTATGGTCATCAATTTTCATTCTGTCTAAATTTTTAAATAATTGGAAGCTGTTTTTTATATAGCTGTCTGCTTTAGGAATAGCTTCATAGAAAATGTACAAATACGAAGCTAATGCATACAGAGAGCTCCCTATTGATGATATTATTATTTTAAATGCAATTCTGTTTGTGAATCTTCGGAAAATCATAAGCTCTCGGTACCGATCCGTTGCTACATATAATGATTTTTATATTCCGATTCCTTAATATAATGCATTTTTTCTATTTAGTGAGCAGGGTTCTGTTGTGATTTTTTTTACAGGATTCTTTAATTACTTAATTACTATGTTTCGTTAATTACTTCATATGTTTCAGTTTTTTTCATCATTCTAATTTCATCATTCTAATTTATAATTTAACGAAATTGATATATTTAAAGTATATGTGAAAAACAAAGAGATAATGTGGGGAAAAAAGGAATGTGTTTTTATAAACGTGTGAATGCGTCAGTATGCATTCCGCATGTAAAGCGCCTGCGTTTAACCATCGCTCCTGCCCGTCTTCTCTATATAGCCTATGATACATTATTTCTTCTTGTTATTTGAAAATTAATCTTTAGACAAAATTTTCGTAAAGGAAAAATCATCTTAGAATTGTGTCAAGAATACGTCTCTACAGGGACACTTGGATTGTTTTCGATCATCCTGTATAAACAATATTTCTGTGACGTTAATTGCTTTCTGATTTGGCAAAGCGTAAAACCAGCAGGTTGTTTAATAACAATTATCGGATACAATCTATTATTACTTTATTTTTGAAAGAATATATCAACAATAAAGAGTGCAAAATTATTCGCAAAGATTGATCCAATTTGCAAGCATAACAGGTCCCTTCGAAGATATCGATGCAATTCTGGATGATTTCATGGAAGTTGTTCAATCTGTATTTTTTCCCACGTAAGGCTATTAATATCGAATCTGAATCATAAGTATCGATCAAACGCATATACGTAATGTACTTGCTTTGCAGTTGTTTCATATAATTTAATTTATGCTAATAGAAAATTAATAAATTTATAAATAGAAAAAATTTATAACGTAAAATCTCCATTTCAAGTACGGATTCAAATTTATAACTTAATACTTAAATATTGGATTAGGGAAAAAATCTTCTTATATATAACCGACAAATGGAGATCTAGTCGATCGATTTTTTACATGCCACTATTGTGTGATGTATTTTATTTTGTGTGATAGGTTATCGTTGGAAAGATGCTATTTCATATAACATTTTAAAATAGATTGATCATATATTTGAACGATATTGACGCATTCAATCAAATTTAAAAATGAGTGAAAATTCAGGAATATTTCCGACATATTTTGCTTCTTTATTATAAAAAAGGGAAGAATGCTGTGCAATGCCGTAAAAAAAATTTGTCATGTTTATTGAGAGGATGCTCTAATTAGATAAACAACAGCGAATTGGTTTCGCCGATTTTAAAATACAAATTTCGATGTCAAAGATGCACATCATTCTGATTGGCCTATTATGAAAAATGTCGATGAAATTTTCTAAAAAATTGGAGAAAATTATCATATAAACAGCTATGACATAGCTAAGGAGCTAAACATTGATCAATAAAACCGTTCTGAGGGTCTTGCGTAAAGCTGAATACACAAAGAAATTTGATCTTTGGGTGCCACATAATTTAACATAAAAAATTAAATAGATAAAATTTCCATTTATGAAACGAAATGAAATTGAGCTTTTTCTGAAAAGATTAATAACGGGTGATGAAAGTGGATAACATATGATAATAATGTTCGAAAAAGATCATCGAATCGATCGAAACGAGGTGAGGTACAAACAATCGCAAAGCCCAGATTGATGCCAAAAAAGGCTTTGTTGTCTGGTGGGATTGGAAAGGAGTCGTCCATTATGAACTGCTACCACCAGGCAAATCGATTGATTCTGATCTCTACTGTCAACAATGAATGCGATTGGAAACCCATTCAGGACAAGCGGTTAGAATTGATCAATAGAAAAGGCGTTATCTTCTTATAACAACACACTAGGCCACATACGTCTTTGATGATTCAACAAAAATTGAAAGCTGAGAAATTTTGATACATCTACCGTATAGCTATGATCTTGTACTGTCCGATTACTATTTATTTCGATCTTTACAGAACTCCCTTAATGGAGTAAATTTGACTTTTTTAGGTCTGCGAAAATCATTTATCTCGAGTTTTTTTTTACCAAGAAACCACAGAAGTTTTATTTTATTCCATCGATGGAATAATGGCTCTACTCGAAAAATAGCAAAAAGTCATCGATTAAAATGACACATATTTAGTTTAAAGATTTATAAACAATTTAAAAAATATGTTTCAATTATGCTCCAACTTATAAAAAAAATTTTTCCCTAACTCAATAAGTAAAGAAATTTATTCTTAACTTGATTTTAAACGGATGTTACAAAGATATTGATATAACATGTGGATAATAATATTTAATGCTGAATGTTTAGAAAGTTATGAAAGAATAATGATGGCCAATAAAATATTTTTACTATTAATAAAAAAAATAAATCAAAATGTATAAACGAATGTACAGAAGATGTAACATGTTATTGGATCGTCTGAACAAATGATCATCGTCTGCAAAGATTTCGCGATCTTGCATCGCCGCCGCAGCTGCTTCGAAAGTGAAAGCAAAGATGCCTGCGGGACATTCTCATCCCAGAGCATCGGATTCTTCTGTCGGCAGTCGAAGAGTCAACTTTTGACGTATACTCGATTTCTGACCAGGACTATATTGCATAAATTATGTGAATTGTAAACAAGCGAGATCCTTTGATCGAAGGCATACGCAAACGTTAATCTGTATGCGATCTCGTTGATCGTATGAGCAAGAATAGACAATGTAAAATCTCCGTAGAATCTCATCATACGGATTAACAGAGAACTTTCATGTCGTATAATCATGCAATTCAATCGGACCGACTTTTAGAAAGTTTCCGCGGATATCTCATGCATATCACGGCGGATAATACACAAGCGGCGAGTAATATAGATAAATCTCGCAGCCGAGATTATATTACGTCGCTGATGACGTTTGCCTTGTGCAACGCTCGAATAATTAAAGGTAAAATGAGTAACAGGCGCACGCGGTGCATTTTATCGTAATGAAACTAATTCTCTGACAACTTCGTTTCATGAAATATGCGGAAATAGATAAATTGTGCAATCTATATTTTGACGAAATTTCTCATGTAGGAAGTGAATTGGCATAATTCAAACTCAGTGAACATTAGCGATAAATCGTTTGAAGTGAATGGATTGGACAATGAATTTTTATTCAGATATACTATAGAGAATATAACATTCCAAATCTGCGAGGAACTATAATCGTGTGTACCGGAAACTATAACAGTATATACCTTGTAATTCATGATTATTATTATTAATTGTGATGATAGATTCTATTAAATTTCATTAAATCTCAAGTCAATTGATTCTTAATTGAAATCTCCAAGCAATACCTCCGTACACACAAGCTATTAGGAATGAGCGATTTTTCGCAAAAGACTCTTTGATATAAAAATATGATTAAATAAGGGAAAGCCTTATTGTACGTTCAAAACCAAATGAAAAATCTTTTTTTTTTCAGTTTTGAATTTTATATTGTCTCAGGATATACTGTATTAAAAAGTTAAGTGAAAAAAGATTTCCTAAAATTTTCATTAAAAAAAACCGAATGTACAATATTATGTTCGTTGTGACTTAATTCTTTTTTCTTTGTCTCGAACGATTCCGAACGATAGTTATCGATCGGTCAAACATGATTGTGAATTAAAAATGCAATATTACTTCAAAGAAATTTAAAATTCATTTACTTTAAGAATAACAAAGCAAATACACTCACTTCAGAGGGATTAGTGAGCGCCGTCTTCAGGATAGTCCCGTTGACGAGATGACCCGAATGCGCAGGATGGCTCGGGTGGCTAGGAGTGGGTGGTGAGTTGAGTGGCTCGCCTGATGAGATTTTGTGATGATGAAGGAAACTACCAGCTAGTTGGGCGTGCTGCTGCTGTTGCTGGCTGTGATGGGCAGCAGCCGCGGCCATATGCTTGTCTAGCATCGTCGTACCCATTGTACTCTTGGCACCCCCGAGAGTACCCGAGCCGTTTACACCACCGACGTTACCGCCACTCATACCACCGACGCCACCCGACGTCTTGTTGCTTTTCTTGTGTTTCTTATACTTCACCTGCGGTCGATCAACAGGCGATCTTTTTCAATAATTGCAGCTGATTTGATCGTCGATTAATTTGGACATTCAACCGGACTTGTGCGAAGATAAATATTTGAACGACATCTACAGTCTATCATTTTATTTATTATACGATAGTATAAATCATAGCATTATAATAATGATTTTATTGTTAAAACTTTAGTCGGTGCATACCTTATAAAGGTTGTATACTGCACCCGAATTTCTTCCTCCAGGCATCCGGTCTTCTCGAACCGCCTGCAGGACCATACCCTGTTCGATGCACTTCTTGAACCGGCAGTATTGACACCTGTTTCTCTGAGCCTTCGTAATTTCGCAGCCTCCCTCTGCCACGCATGTGTACACCCGTCTATTTTGTACGGTCCTCTTGAAGAAGCCTTTACATCTGCATGCAAATAAATAGAATTCTTGTAACTTGTAATTGATTAACTTACCAATTAAACTTATCAATTTACATAATAAGAATCTTATTGGACTGTAAAATTTGAAACTCATCAAATAGGAAATAGAAATTGGCCATAACAGTCTAATCTTTTTAATGCTTAACTAATTTAAAATGAATCAATATATATTATGTACTAGTATATATAATATGTACTATATATATATATATATATATACTATATATGTACATACATATATACCACATTGCAGTCATTGGAACTAAGCGCTGAAATTTTTCCGGAGTTTCAAATTTCACGGTTCAAGATTCTTATTGTTTATATTACGTCATTTTCCATACATACCTATACTAATTATTGCGAAGAGTATTAACTAAGGCCTCAGTAGTCTAAAGACTTAGGACACTAGTACGGAATGCAAGAGATCCTCTCGGCCAAGGGAATATTTTTCACAATAAATAAATTCATTTACAGATTTCTATCATATTAAGATCTTTCTAATAGATATCTATTGACCATCAAAAATTTAACTATGACATTATTTCGGTAGTTTAGCTGCGTTTCAAACCCGGAAAAATTTCGGCGCGTAGTTCAAATGACTACAATATGATATGTATGTATGTATGTACATGTATAGTATATATTAATTCACTTTAAATTAGTTAAACATTACAACAAAAGATCCCAGCTTAGACCGTTTTGACAAAGATTTCCTATTTCCTACTTGATGAGTTTTATCAATTTACAGTCATAGAAAATACCCCCCCCCCCTCATAAAGTATCCAAAATAAAAAAAAACTTAATATTGAAAGACATGACTTCAGGATGCTGTCATTATTTTCTTTTTCGCTAATGGTTATATATACACAACCATCGAAAAATTTCACATGGACATGAACACTCAAAATTGCATAATATTCAGATCATTGTAACTCGATAAAAAAACCATCGCAGACAAAAAAATAAAAAAGCATTTTAAAGCTTAAAACTTATACTTTAACATGCTTTCGACCGCTTTTCAAAAAAATTTTCTTTACAGTTCTGTATCTTAATAAATATCACGTTGTTGTATTTTTTAAAATTACGTACATTTAACAGTGCGCAATTCGATAAAGTTTTTTTTTTCCAAAAATTTAATATTTTTGAAAAACACTACAAAGATTTACCTCCAAAATGCTTTTTAAAAAATTTTCTTATGATTTTTCTTGATTGAATTACGCGTTATTGAAGCTAAACCTGCAAAGCTCACAATCAACATTAAAATTTGGTGAAATACCATCGTAAAAAATTGAAGAAATAACTTTTGAAGCTCGAAGTTTGTACTTTAACAAGCTTCTAATCGTTTTTAAATTTAATTCTACAGAATTGAGAAGATAAAATTTTTTGTGATGATTTTTTACCAAATTTCACCGTTGGTTATTTAGTAATGCAAGTTTAGCTTCAATATTCGGTTACAAGGTTGCTAACGTGAGAACTATAAACAACTAATTATACACGGTCTTTTTTGTTCTACTAATCGACGCCGCGCTCAGCTAGTCAAGCGTCAATTGATAAAAATGAAGGAGCAATTTCTTGGTAATGTCCGAGACCAAAAGCCCATCACTGCCGCCGCAGCGAGTTACTTGAATATCTTCAGGGATGGGCAGTATTTGAAATACATGTAGTTAAAATACGTATTTAAAGATATTTTTGTATTTTGTATTTAAATACAATTTTTTGAGTATTTTGCCCACTCCTGGCTATATTGATTCTAACCTTATATCGCAATAGTCGATCACCGCTGGCATTAGCGTTACCCGAAGCGTACCACATGGAGATTACACAGTCGGATTTACGCATCGTGCGTGCATGCGTGGATGTATGGGAGGGAAAGGATAGTGTTGAAAATAGAGATAGCAATACTTCACATTAAAAATTTAATTTCATCTGCTCACCCTTCCCTCCTCCCCCCCCAAGAAGCATAAATCCAACTGTGTAATCTCCACGTGGTATACTTCGGATAAGGTTAATGTCAGTGATAATCATCTGCTGTGTATAAGATTAGAATCAATGCAGCGAATGCCGTTTTGCCTAAAATCGTAACTTCGAATATGAAGGACATTAGTTTAAAAATGTCGCAACCTTCCTTTTATTTTCGATGAAGTCAATAGATAACAAAATTTAAAACTACGTTAACATCATAGAGTTTCTCTTCATTAAAAAAAAAAAGATTAGTTGCTGCAACAATTTAGATAGTAAAATATGTTACAGCATTTTTATATGACTGCAGCAACCAGTTTTTGATTGTAGTAGCAAATTTTTAATTTCGTTATCCTATCGAAATCGTATACTGACATTGCGGATAGGCTAACGCAACTAAAAATTTGCTGCTACAACCAAAAACTGGTTGCTGCAGTCATATAAAAATGCTATAACATATTTTACTATCTAAATTGTTGCAGCAACCAATTTTTTCTTTCAGTGTCCCTTTTTGATCGAAGTAAATCGAGTTGAATAGAAACAAGTAATTGTTTCAATTTTCAACTTCATCTTTCACTTAAGTTTTTACGTAAAAAGCTTATTTCTGTCTTAAAAAAATGATAAGAGCATCTTAAAATAAAAGTTTGAACTTTTTTTTCCTTTTTAATGAATACTGTACATTACTCAGTTTGTCTTTTATGAGCAGTCAAAAGGACCATTTTTACTTCAATGTTGAATAATTCGATGAAAAAAAAATTGTATGACGTACATAAAAAAAGTAAATTAAAGGCAAAGGTTCACACTTTCAAAAGCTGTAAACAGTATTTGGGCCTGATTTCTCATTTGCGGCATGAAACTACAAATTTCACAAAAAGTTTTGAAATTTAACGGATCATCGTTTGTAATCGTATAGTTCCGTAAAAATCAACCAAATTATTATTGAAAGTATAGATCTGAAAAATAGATAAAATAAATATATATGTTACGCACGGAAATTAAAGCATCATCTCTCACGTTTTTGAAAAATGGGTAAACTTTAAATGAGTGTAACTTCTACAAAAATAGTTATAATGAGACGTTACAAAATTTTTTCAGATTTTATTTTATCTATTTTTCAGACACACACACACACACACACACACACACACACACACACACAGAGTGCGTCACCAAAATCCAGAAAAAATTTAAATTTTCCGCCAGAGATTGTCATTGGCGTCCGAGAAAGCTTTTAGTAAACAGTCATATTCTCAAAATGGCCACGATGTTGAAATCAAATACGGAGTATAATCGAAGATCTGCGATCATCGAAGATTTTCGCACTGAGCGCTCAGCAACGGAAATAATTCGATTCTTTGGATACCCAAGATCAACGTTTATGACGTTGTGGCAAAATATACGACTTCCAACGAAGGTTCCAGTATGCCAATGAGGAAGAGTCACTCGAAAGAACGCACTGCAAAGACCCGCAGTCGTTGAAAGGGCTCAAGCGCTGATTTCAGATGATTCAGGGCAATTGTTGCGCGTTCTGATGAATGTAGTGAGGCCGTGGATGGAAACTGTGGCGTCCGGAAGGCCATATGTTTTTCAGCAGGCCGGTGTACCGGCTCATAGGAGTCATTTGTTTCAAAATTAGTTTAAAAATCGTTATGTTTTGGTCCAAGAAATTCTGATCTCCCAACAGTCCAGATTTAAATCCCTTGGACTACTACGTACGGAGCGTAATTGAAAGGATCACAAACAAGTCTCGGCATCTCAATGTGATGTCATTAAGGATCGCTATTGAGGCAGCATTCGTCGGCATGGACAGCGCTATATTACAACGTGCGTGCGAATGCTTCCGACGGAGAATAGAGGCCTGTCAAGTTAATGGGGAATAATTATTCTTTACAGAGATCTTCCAAGTGCCATGTAAAAGGATTTTTTGTAATATTTAATTTTTCATTAAAAACATTTTATTTAAAGAAATTGTTCCATTTGTTCGGATTTTTGTGACGCATCAAATATATATACACACATATATATATATATATATGTATATATATAT